TACAAAAACATTTTTTATAAGTTAAAAGGCCAACTTAACGAGCTAATTAATTAGGTGTTAACAATTTATTCTACGTCATGAAATAATACAAATGATAATTAGATTAAATGATATTACGTATCATTATCACATCATGGATTACAAAATTAGACGTTTATTTAATAAGAACTACCGAAATCTGATGTTCGGGATTAGGCTCTTTAACGACTAATTCGAACGATCAGCCGTAACTCAAGCCAACAATTATAATGTGTTATACTGCGTTTTTCATATTATAAGTCTATATATTTTACATGTATGATAAGTTCTGTCTTTCCAAATTATTTAATTTATGGATATGTTAGCAAAGCGATATTTGTATTGATAAAGACTGTCGTACAGTTGAAACGTTTACTAATTATCATTTGTATTATTTCATGACGTAGAATAAATTGTTAACACCTAATTAATTAGCTCGTTAAATTGGCCTTTTAACTTATAACTTATTTTAATTTTACACGAGCCGAATTTTATTTTTATTATAAATATTTTTTATATATCTTATTGTTCGACGGTAATTATTTACGCACCAAACACGGATGAGCGTATATACGGGAGCGTTTATAATTAATTTTTAAAAATGATAATTTGTAAAATAACTTTATTACACATGATTGAATTTGAAAAAAATAAGCTTTAAATTAGATAAATCAAAATTTTTATAATAATTTTGAAGAAAAATTAAGTGGTAGGGTTTTAGAAAAAAATAAAAATTTTTTGTTTATATAACTTTAAAGTACTCTTGAAGCCAATTAAATTTGTTTTACGTTTTTTCTTTTTATCTCTTATAGTTTAGAAGATATTCGATTCTAAAGAAAAATACCGTTTTTCTTTAAAGGGTGTTTCACCCTTTAAAACTCAAATTGCGCACGTATAAAAAAATACATGCCTTTTAGATTTGTGTATTTAACAATATATTTCAGGAGAATCAAATCGGTTCCGGACAGTTGTGACATGTCCCTTGTAAGTTCTTTGACATACGGTAATATCACAGTATATGTACAGAGAGAAAGATGAGAGCGGCCAGGCCGGCGTTTTGGCTGTTACCGTTTTTACGGGACTGCTTGAAGCGCCCCTCGCACCCGTTTTTAATATCGGAACTAACTGCACACCCATTTTCTGGCAGGGTCGATAAAGTTTGTATTTGGTGCGAGTCCGTGCTACGCCCATAATTTTCGTGTTAACACAGTATCACGTATTCATTCTGTATATGTGCGATCTTTTCTCTTTATTATATATATATATATATATATATATATGTATTTATATAATTTGTATAAAAACTAAAATATAATTATTAAAATATATATATATATGTATATGTGTAATGAAATATATAAATCTTATTTTAATTAAAATAAAAAGAACGATTAATTGTTCGACCACCTGGATTTTGGAATGTAATTTTTAATATATATTATATTATATTTAATATTTATCGCCGCTTCTATTAATATGAAGTGCAATGTCAACGTGCAATAATGTACAATTATTTAAAGTTTCCATGCCTAATGTATCATGCCGGTATAAAAGAACGTCAAGTAGCATGCGTAGCCGAGCAACTAAGATGACGAGCTGAAATCGTGGACATTTCAAGTTCAAACCCCTGCCTTTTTCAGATTTTTTTTCACTTTTTTCAAATAAGTTATTATGTGTATAAATGTGTAATAATCAATATATCATTATTTGATAATTTTTTTTGTAATGGAACAAAATAAATTATTTTTTAATTCTGCAAGGAATTTAATTATTAATGCAAACGCCCACACACATAATTTAGATATTCAATTTTTTTTAGTTCAAATGTTTCTTGCAATCTGTATACGACAATCAGTCCACTCGCTGTGCCACAGATTGCATCGCATAATACGCTCAGAGTTATAATACGATAGAGATCGCTTTACGCTGTTTTTCCTTGAAATAAATAAATTTTACGTGTTGTGTACGCGTGTTTAGTATATTTGTTTCTTTCATATTAATTTTAACTATAATTAGTTTTTTAATTAAGATTATTTTAGTGTTAGTTGTTTATTTGTTAGTGTCCTGTTTTCTTTAATTTCGCATTTTTTAATTTTCTTTTTTTTTTGGTGTTGGTGCTAATTATTATTTTTATTTTACAATGTCGAGTAAACACCGGTTTTACGATAAATGTGTGTATTTAAATTGCACAAATATTAGGACAAAAGATGGAAAACGTTTATTTCGATTTCCATTACAAACGGGTGCGAGACATGATTTATGGTTACGCAATAGTGGTGAGTTTATAAAATTGATTTACTTATTTATATCAATATATAATATATATTGATATGATATATGAAACAAATATATATATATATTCTTTGTTTTTTTTAATAAAATATGTCAGATATTATGTATGTTTACGTATGGATTACGTTGAAGTGTTTCTTTGCCGCGTTTTTCTGATCTCGCCGAACGGTTCGCGAATCCTGTGCGAATAAAAAACGATGCGCGTGTGTGTGTGCGTGCGATTGTGATGATCAGTTTCAGTTCGTCTTCAACGCTTGACGAGAGAAGAGGTCCCGAACTGCTGTAAGTTTATAAAAACATATTTTTGTATAACACATTAGAACGATTTTATATTATTTTTTTTGTCTAGAAAACGTTATATTAATAACCGTTATGAAAACGATCTCGACGACGGCGACGATGCCGGTGACGACCGTCGTCGAGATCGTTTTCATAACGGTTATTAATATAACGTTTTCTAGACAAAAAAAATAATATAAAATCGTTCTAATGTGTTATACAAAAATATGTTTTTATAAACTTACAGCAGTTCGGGACCTCTTCTCTCGTCAAGCGTTGAAGACGAACTGAAACTGATCATCACAATCGCACGCACACACACACGCGCATCGTTTTTTATTCGCACAGGATTCGCGAACCGTTCGGCGAGATCAGAAAAACGCGGCAAAGAAACACTTCAACGTAATCCATACGTAAACATACATAATATCTGACATATTTTATTAAAAAAAACAAAGAATATATATATATATTTGTTTCATATATCATATCAATATATATTATATATTGATATAAATAAGTAAATCAATTTTATAAACTCACCACTATTGCGTAACCATAAATCATGTCTCGCACCCGTTTGTAATGGAAATCGAAATAAACGTTTTCCATCTTTTGTCCTAATATTTGTGCAATTTAAATACACACATTTATCGTAAAACCGGTGTTTACTCGACATTGTAAAATAAAAATAATAATTAGCACCAACACCAAAAAAAAAAGAAAATTAAAAAATGCGAAATTAAAGAAAACAGGACACTAACAAATAAACAACTAACACTAAAATAATCTTAATTAAAAAACTAATTATAGTTAAAATTAATATGAAAGAAACAAATATACTAAACACGCGTACACAACACGTAAAATTTATTTATTTCAAGGAAAAACAGCGTAAAGCGATCTCTATCGTATTATAACTCTGAGCGTATTATGCGATGCAATCTGTGGCACAGCGAGTGGACTGATTGTCGTATACAGATTGCAAGAAACATTTGAACTAAAAAAAATTGAATATCTAAATTATGTGTGTGGGCGTTTGCATTAATAATTAAATTCCTTGCAGAATTAAAAAATAATTTATTTTGTTCCATTACAAAAAAAATTATCAAATAATGATATATTGATTATTACACATTTATACACATAATAACTTATTTGAAAAAAGTGAAAAAAAAATCTGAAAAAGGCAGGGGTTTGAACTTGAAATGTCCACGATTTCAGCTCGTCATCTTAGTTGCTCGGCTACGCATGCTACTTGACGTTCTTTTATACCGGCATGATACATTAGGCATGGAAACTTTAAATAATTGTACATTATTGCACGTTGACATTGCACTTCATATTAATAGAAGCGGCGATAAATATTAAATATAATATAATATATATTAAAAATTACATTCCAAAATCCAGGTGGTCGAACAATTAATCGTTCTTTTTATTTTAATTAAAATAAGATTTATATATTTCATTACACATATACATATATATATATATTTTAATAATTATATTTTAGTTTTTATACAAATTATATAAATACATATATATATATATATATATATATATATAAAAGAGAAAAGATCGCACATATACAGAATGAATACGTGATACTGTGTTAACACGAAAATTATGGGCGTAGCACGGACTCGCACCAAATACAAACTTTATCGACCCTGCCAGAAAATGGGTGTGCAGTTAGTTCCGATATTAAAAACGGGTGCGAGGGGCGCTTCAAGCAGTCCCGTAAAAACGGTAACAGCCAAAACGCCGGCCTGGCCGCTCTCATCTTTCTCTCTGATATGTATAACCAGTAGCGGCACTTCATGTCGGTTCTTTTGATGTCAGTGTCCGAAATCATGTGACATGTCGCCATGTTCTTGATAGTAATAGCGCGCTTATATTTAAATTGTGAGAAAGAAAGGCAACTATATATAAACAATTATTTTTATAATTGTGCAGACAATTATTGTATAAATAACCACAATGTATATTTTCTTGAAATACATATTACATATGTAACATTAAAGTAACGCAAATAATCATATAAACATAAAAAAAGAAGAAATTTAACAAGTAATAGTATTAAAATATACCTATGTGTTATTTAATAAATTATTTTTTTATTATGTTTGTGTATTATTTAATGAATTATTTATATTAAACAAGTAACATATTTATTATTGCCATTTTATTTATAAACATATCGATGTACATTTAGATTATTTACAATTGAAATGTATATAATGTGTAAAATTACGATAAATTCGTGATCAATGATTCCAATTTTTTGTTATACTCTTCAAAAATACGAAATCTCAAATTTTAGATGTATATAAAAATTGATAATAAATAAATGTATATAACAATTCTATGTAATTTACAATTGGTTATAAAAGACTAATTGTGTTTTATATTATCAGGTGTATTATTGTTTATCTGTTTAATGTACTTAAATTGATTTCTGTCTTGTTATTATGAATACGTATGAATACTTATAAGATAAGCTCCATTTTGTGGATAGGTATGTGTTGAATAATTGAACAGGAATTCAGTCACCTAGAAAACAATATTAATTATAAAATAAAACACTTTTTATTAATATTTTTAATATTATAATGTTTAGAAAAAACAAAAATTAGACATTTTCTGCATCTTTAACACACACACATATATATATATGTAGCAATTGTGCTCTAGAATAAATGTTATTGTAATTTTAGAAACAATTAAATTTTATATATACGTATATAGGAAATTGTCAAACAATTAATACCTTTCTGGATGAGATGGAAAGCGAAAAAAGCTCAAGTGACGACTGGAGCCGGAATTTTTATTGCAATCTTGCATTGCGCACGTGAAACCACCAACAACTACGCGACGTTCCATTATTATAACAATGTTTTTTAAAAATATTTTCAGACCTAAAACTTAACAGAGTTCTTTAATTAACTTGAATTCATCAATAGGCTATATTTATTTTGATAAACACAACCACCACTTACTGTGTTTACAACTCACTGTACACCATATTGTGGATAGTAATCCAACGCATGCGCCGTAGCATTTCTCCGACGTTATTTTTCTTGAGTGACGCTACTGGTTATACATATACTGTGGTAATGTT